TGTCAAAGGCCTTACAGAGATCCGGATAGATGACATCTGTAGCCCTTCCCATGTCCACTGGTATAGTCACTCCATCATAGAAGGCCACTAGATTGATCAGGCAGGACTTGCCCTTGGTGAAGCCATGCTGGCTGTCTCGAATCACTTCCATATGCCTTAGCATAGCGTCCAAGAGGATCTGTTCCATGCTCTTCCCAGGCACAGAGGTGAGGCTGACAGGTCGGTGGTTCCCAGGGTCCTACTCATGTTCATCTGTTCATGAATCCGAAGGTTCAGTTGTGTCTCCTTCCTCATGGGGGTGTCCCAGGGAAAAGATTACTTTCAGTCATTTATCAATAGCTTCCTCTATTTTTTTTCTCTCCTTTTGCCCCTGCCAGGTTTGGTTTAGGTTGCTCAGAGGAGTTCATCTAGTTCTTCTAAAACTGGGCCAATCATCAAAACACACTTAAGTGGGAAAAATACTGGTTTCTTAGGATTGTCTTTATTGGTAGGTAGACAAGTACTGTTTTCAATATGCCAGGCTTTCAAAAGCTTGGGTGGCATCAGTGGCTGTTAGCTAAGATTTGGACTGTGTTTTGGTCAATGAGCCATAGGAAGAAAAGCTGACGGTAGTAGCTCAGGGAAGGAAGCTGAGTGTGAGAATCCCCAGGACATCTGATTTCCAGAAACTTGGGCTCTGCCAAAGGGATGGTGAAGCTCATGCCTTGAGTCCCTTTTGTACATACATGTTATGCATGTCCTGCTTGGAAAGACAACTTTTCATTTTGCTGGTGAGGCCTCCAGAAGCTTGTGCCTTCCTTCCTTGTTGGATGGTTTTGCAGACGTAATAATGCCCTCCATTTGCTGCTGGAAAGGCACCATCATGCTGCTCTGAGGAAACAGAAGGTGGCATTTCATGGAATCATTGTTCCCCCTGGGAGACCTCCGTGTGCCCTCCTGCGAGGCTGCTGCCAAGAAGCCGTACCTCTTCCTGCTTTTTTCAAATGCACCTTTGGACTCCTTGAGTTGCAGACAGTGAAGCTGGCTATCTGCCAAAACAACAGTGGAGGAGGTGGAGATGTTATTAAGGAGGAACTCTGTTTCAATTGGCAGGATGCAGACTGGAGACTGGGAGGGGAATCCTGACATGTTTCTGCAGAGGCAAGGTGTCGCCACATCTCAAAGAGGCTACTTGATGCTCTATGAGCAAATGATTGAGGAGAGTCTGATCTGCACACACTTCCATGTCATGCATTTGGGCTACAGTTGCTAGCTGCTGTCACCAGTTCTTAGAACCCATGACTTTGGGGAGCTGGGGACAGAGGACAGGTATGTCCTGGTGACCTGGTTTCACATGCTGTTGTGGAACAGCTCTGCCATCACGTCCTGGAAAGCTGGTATCTCAGTTTCACTGTTTGAGTGCTTTGTCTTGGTGAGCTGCCGGTCTTTGTTGCTGTGCCTCTTGTGCCAAAATAAACCCATTGAAAGTACATACCGAGCTGTCCTGACTTGGGTCTTTCTGATCTCTGCAGCTCCTGATCACCAGCATGTTCCAGACTGGGTGTGGGTCATTGTCGGTCTTCTCAACTTCATTGCCTATACATTAGGTAAGACTTTATCTAGTTGATTATGGGGGTTTGTGTCTGTTGTCTGTTCATGTTGCGGCTGCATGTTGTCTTATCTCCGAGACCATTGAGAAATTTTTGATCCTGGGCTTCTGCCATGCACTAGTCCAATTGCTGCTCAGGCTGCTAGAGCAGTTTCCGGGAACTGCTTTGCAAAGCGGATAGAAGGAAGTTGTGCCGGAGCAGCTGATGTGAAAGGAGGATGCTGGAACTGACTTCAAGACAAACTCTGAAATTCTGTCTTCCGTCTGCTTTAAATAAACATAATCTCGTCAGACTTTATTGTATTTTTCAGTCTCAAGTAGAGCAGGGGGGTGTGAAATGCACTCACCATTAGAGGATGGAGGTAGTGAAAGCTGCTGTTTGCTGGCTGCGCCCAGTTTGTCAGCTGCAAACCAGCCCATTGCTTTTGAGTGGGGGTGTCCAGCAAAACTCCCCGTTTCTCCTTGTTCTCTTCCCAGATGGTGTTGATGGGAAGCAGGCTCGCCGGACCAACTCCAGCACGCCCCTGGGAGAGCTCTTTGATCACGGCCTGGACAGCTGGGCATGCGTGTACTTTGTCGTGACAGTCTACTCCACCTTTGGACGGGGCTCCACGGGTGTCAGTGTCTTCGTTCTCTACCTCCTCTTATGGGTGGTCTTGTTTTCGTTCATCCTCTCCCACTGGGAGAAGTATAACACAGGGATCCTCTTCCTGCCCTGGGGATATGACATCAGCCAGGTGGTAAGTACGCGCCGCAGCCGCTGCTCGGCTTCAGCAGAAGCTCAATAAACTGCTAGCGCGCCTGGGGTGCAGTAGTGCCCGCTGAGGTGTGCGAGGGATGCGTGCAGCTCTGCTACGTGTCCAAAGCCTTGTAAATCGGTCGCTGCAACGCTCTCTGGAGGTGGGTTTCTGTTATGGTTTAACCCGACAGGCAGCTCAACACTGCACAGCCGTTCCCTTGCTCCCCCAGCAGTGGGATGGGGGAGAGAATCGAAAAAAGGGTAAAACTCGTGGGTTGAGATAAATATGATTTAATAGGACAGAAAAGGAAGGGAAAATAATAAGAATGATAAAAGAATATACAAAACAAGTGATGCACAATGCAATTGCTCACCACCCGCTGACCGATGCCCAGCCAGTTCCCGAGCAGCGGCCGTGCCCCCCCAGCCAACTCCCCCAGTTTTTTGTTCGGCATGACATCATACGGTATGGAATATACCTTTGGCCAGTTTGGGTCAGCTGTCCTGGCTGCGTCCCCTCCCAGCTTCTTAGAACCATGGAATCATAGAATCATTAAGGTTGGAAAAGACCTCTAAGATCATCAAGTCCAACTGTTAACCCAACACCACCATGCCCACTAAACCATGTCCCTAAGCGCCTCATCTACACATCTTTTAAATACCTCCAGGGTTGGTGACTCCACCACTTCCCTGGGCAGCCTGTTCCAGTGCCTGACCACTCTTTCAGTAACGAAGTTTTTCCTAATGTCCAGTCTTGTGCACCTCCAGCCTCCTCCCTGGCCGGGCAGTATGAGAAGCTGAAAAGTCCTTGACTAGCGTAAACACTACTCAGCAACAACTAAAACATCAGTGTGTTATCAACATTATTCTCATATTAAATCCAAAACACAGAACTATATCAGCTACTGTGAAAAAAATTAACTCTATCCCAGCTGAAACCAGGACAGCATCTTCAGCCTGTCTCCAGGCATTGTGGAGGAGGAGAGCTTTCCAAGACTGCTTGCATGACTTTGAGCTATAATTGCTTTAATGAGCCGAGGTCACGTGGCGCTAGAGTTCGACTGCTCAAAACCATTAAATCCAAGGAGGTTTGTGCGATGTGGTTTTTACTTTGTTCCGAGTAGCTTTTGTAGATGGACCATCCACAAAAACTGAGGCTTGAAGAATGGATATTGCCTTATGTTTCCTCTGCCTGGTTTCTGCTGTCCTAAGATGCATGTTTTGGCCATCTAAATCATTGCTTTAGTTAGTTTCCTGCCTTACACCAACGTGGGTACGTTCAAGTCTAGAAGTTTGGGGTGCCTTTTGGCACTTGCAGGATGTGTGCCAAAATGTAGCAGAGTGACTAACTGGCAAGTTAATCCCTGTGCCTGGAGCAAAGGTTCCTGGGGAGGTGCCCCTCTGTACCGTGGTAACTGGGCAGTCGATGTCGAGACTGACCGTGATGGATCCTTTGGTATGTTGGCATGTCTGTGTCCCATTAAGGACTTCTCTGCAGGAAGCTCTTTCTGAAGAGCCCATCAGAACTGGGAGCAAGCTCTGGATGATACAATTCACCTTTACTGCTGCAGCAATCCTTCCCAGCCAGGGTGCAGTCTCACAGCACCACGCAGCACACAGTACTCCTTTATCCTCTGGCTTATCAGATGCTGGGTGGGAAATGCAACAAGTTGGAAGGAGAGGGCAATTAATGCAGCTGCATTAATTGCAATAATCATCTCTGCTAGTAAAAGGAGGCCATAGCTGGTCTCCTCTGACTATACTCTGACCCCTTTCTCCAAAAGCATTGCTTAACCCTAATGCTTTCGGATCTCTGCCTGTTGCAGAAAGGCAGGGGGTGGAGGACTGAGCTGCCCTGTAGCATGCTTCACCCAGCTTCAGGATTACTATTAAAACTGAAATATCCCTTGTTAGCTTTTTCCCTGTAATTGCTTCAGCAGACGGTTAAGAAAGAGTCCCTGAACAAACCCTCCAGGGTCACTGCAACTTGAAGTATAAAACCTATCTCTCATACTTCAAGCATCTCGTGAGTTCAAGCTGTGCGAGGGCATCTTTGCTCCTGCTGTGAGGAGCAGCTCCTGGTTGTATCCTTCTCAACAGCTCAGTTACTACACTTACTAGACCTGGTCTTGTAGCGGGATATTTGTGGATTTTTTTTTTTTTTTCTCCTTCCTGCCGGTGGGGAGAACTGAACACGGTGTAGCTTAGAGCGTACTTCTCGAGCTGCCTTTCCCTGACGCTGTCTGGCATGCGCGTTGCGCTGCCGGGTCGGGTGCTGCCAGACTTGCCTGTCCGGTTGCTCACACCTGCTTGTCCTGTGCTTTCTTTCAGACCATTTCAATTGTCTACATAGTGACAGCCATTGTGGGAGTGGAGGCCTGGTATGCACCTTTCCTGTTTAATTTCTTATATAGAGACCTATTCACTGCAATGATTATTGGTAAGAAACTCCATGTTGAAGCCTGTCTTTTAAACTCCACCTTTTTAATGAAACCCAATGTCTTAATTATATGATAACGCTGTTCTGTTTGCTGTAATGAAAGCTCCTGGAGGCTGTTATTGAAGTGACTAATTGAGGGTGTTCTTGCAGCCTCCCCTTTCCCAGGATTTTAAAGTATTGTTGTCTTTTGCATAGTTACTTAGGAGAAGTTAACTCCAGTCTGCCTGGGTCTGTGTTGACCAAAAGAGCAAGGACGCGGAGCGCTGCGCTCATGCCTCAGATATATTTTGTGCCAGTTCTGAGGATATACGTGCATGCTGCTGCTCGGGGGATCAGCCCCAGTGCTGCCTACCTGGGGCTGAGGGTTTGTGCGGAACAAAATGGTTCCTGGCCTGGAACGGTGTAGTGGGCAGACGAGAGTGGCTGAGGGTTGTGGCTGCTGCCTGGGGACGGGTGTGCCAGGGTGCTGGGAGCCAGCTGGAGCCGAGCACCGGCCCCTGGATGCTAAGCAGGAGACTCCCTCCTGCCTGGGACCTGCGAGCGTGTGAAAGCACGTCTCCTCCAAATAGCTGCGTTGCCCGAGTGTTGGGGCTGCAGGCATCGCATTGCCCAGGAGAAGCACGGTTTGTTTTCAGCGAGAGCTGTGAGGTTTTTAGGGGATAAAACGCAGCCCAGTGCGTGGGTGGGTGCTGGGAGCCGGCGGCCAGCGGGGACGCCCCGGCGCTCGGGCTGTTTGCCGAGTGTGCTTGGTTTGCTGCCTAGGGCTCCGTCTCACCCTGCAGCACGGCCGGGGCAGGACCCCAAGCCCAAACGCTGCGCAGGAGCCTGGGGCTGCTGCAGGAGGGAGGTTACAGCCACAGAGGTGGGGAAAAGCACTCTGCTGTTTGGGGGTCCTGCCCTGCATCCACCCGTCTAAAAATTAAATTTAAAAAAAAAAAAATTAAATAAAACCCCAGCCTTTTTCTCCAATGGTCGGTCAGAACAAGACACTGCAAAAGGGGGAGTAATGCAGGTGAAGCTTAGTGGGGGAGAGCTGTCTTTGCTGAATGGAATTCGGCTTATTCAGGAGTTCTTACTTAATTTAATTTTTCTTAGTCTGTGTCCCTTTCTTTAGGGGTTAATTGTAACTACTTAATTTCAAATCAATATGTCTTAAATTGTTATCTTAAATCTAATGCTTGCACTTTTCTTAATCAGGTGGATATTCTGAGCTTTCCTTTAGCAGACATATAACTTAACATATGAATAATAAATGCACTTTTCCTATGTGAAAAATAGAGCACGATGCCTACATTGCCTGCATTTGTGTAGTTGGATAGGAGCTGGGTTATTAAAAGCAGGAATATTTACAGCTCTGTTAAAATACCTAGTGCTATATAAACATGGAAGGAGTTGTCATAGACTCTCACGGGTTTGAGTGTAGCGGATGATGTTCCCTATTGAGGTCTAAATTTTTTCAGAGTTATTTAGACCCTTTGTATGATTTGTCAAGTTAAATGATAAGAACCTTTTTGCACAACGGGAACTGAAAATGGTTGTTCATAGTGGGAGAAATAGCAAATTGGCTTCATTATGAAGACTGAAAACTCTGTTGTGCACAGCCATGTCACTTGTGGAGTTTGAACTCACCTCATGTCTCATTAAAGACAGTATTATAACTAAAGTTTGTAACTGTTTAAAGCATAATACTGCGCTCATTAATGCAGCTTTTTAAAATTGAAATGTCTTTAATTTATAGCAGACCTTAATTTGTAATTACAGCCCTTGGACCAGAATTATGAGCACCTACTTTTAAACGTGCTGAGCTATTCTTGGTGCACCTCTGAGCTATTATTCTTGCAAGCAACTTAACCCAGAGCACAACCACCTGCCCGTTCATGGGGTGCACGTGATGGTCTCCCTCTATCGTGGGGCAGTAACGCGGCTCTTTCTCTTCCAGCTTGCGCGCTCACTGTGACGCTGCCGATGAGCCTCTATAACTTCTACAAGTAAGTTTCTCTGTCCTCAAGTCTCCCTCCCTGCCCCAGCACCTTTGCAAGAACCCCCAAAGCCTCTTAGAACTTGGTTTCCTTAGTTTTCAGTAGTTTTCAGACGACTGTTTTCAGTGTGGCAAAGTGCCTCTGACACGCCAGAAGGTCCCAGTTTGCAGGGTGCGCTGGGAGCAGCGGGCTGGCAGCCTGCTCAGCAGGGTCTTGCAGAAGGGCCCTCAGCTTTTGTAGGCTTGTCCTGTTGGTCACAACCCAGAGAGCCAGACAACCAGGTGCCTCTGTAGCTCAGGAGTTTTTTGAGTTAACAATGAAAGTGTGTGTCTTCCTCGTCTGACCGTGGTTATGACTGATAACAGCAGTTTTGAGTAGCAGAATGGCCAATGAGATTTTGCAGCCCTCTCCTGAAGGCAGCGGCCAGGTGTTTCTCAAGTGTGGTTCCATGTATTTTCATTTCTTTTCTTGTGTTTCAGGGCCTATAAAAATAACACCTTGAAGCACCACTCTGTGTATGAAATCATGCTGCCACTGGTATCCCCAGTGTTGCTGTTCCTGCTGTGCACCACATGGGTCTTTGTGTCCCCGACAGACATCCTGGAAGTTCATCCCAGGCTCTTCTATTTCATGGTCGGAACAGCCTTCGCTAACATTTCTGTAAGCAGCTTTTGCTTTGTGCTCCAGTTTATCCCCTGGGGAGTGTGAAGCCTGCCAGGACGCTTGGGAGGCAGGTCAAATGTGAGGAGAGAAGGGAGATGCGAAGATTAACTTAACAGCTTTTCTATTTTGCTATGATTGAAAGAACGAACAGGAAAGTAGACAGGGTTTGGGGTCTGCGAATTTTGTGCTGCAGCTCTCACTCTTGAGAAACTAGAGAATTAGTTAAATTGAGTGTGTTTGCTCACGCATGCATCCTCTGTGTTGTGAATAGCAAACTGCTAATATCAAAGGAGTTCTTGCTTCCTTTTTTGGGACAAACTTAAAATGTGGGGGACTAAAGCTTTTGTCAAAATCCGATTTAGCTGCATATTGCATCTGTGCTTGCTTGAGACCTTATCAAAGACACCTGTGCTCGTCACCTCAGACATGTGGCTGAGCAGCTCTGTGTGTCCGTGTCCTGGGTCCAGCAGTTCATGCTGCTGCTTGGCAGCATTTTCTGCTGATCGTGCAGATAACGCTGGTAAGGCTCGGTCAGCTCAAGGGAACTCGTTTTTCTTTTAAAGATGCCTTTGATGCTCTTACCTTTCTGCCCCACGAGGCTTTGCTCTGTGTGTCCCACAGGAATTCTAATGCAAAGAAAGATCCTGAGTGAGAAACTCGGGGAAACTGCATGATGGTAGTTGTAAGCGCAGACAATTGGTACATGTACATGTGTGACCGTCCTCTCTGCACTGTGGACAGCTCTGGGCTTGCAGAGTCGATACTGAGTGCAAGCTCTGACAGCTTTCTCTTCCTGCAGTGCCAACTGATTGTCTGTCAGATGAGCAGCACACGCTGCCAGCCTCTGAACTGGATGCTGCTCCCCATAGCGGTGGTGCTCTTCGTGGTGATGTCCAGGTTCGCGCCGAACAGCGAAACACTTCTCCTCTACTTGTTAACTGCTTTCCTCACCCTGGCGCACATCCACTATGGAGTGGTCGTGGTAGGTGAACTCAGCACGTGGGCTTTGGGCTTGGCTGCCGTGCTCTGACTGCAGGCTTTGGGGTGCTGCTGCTCTTTGGGGCAGAGAATGCTCTGCTTAAAAAGGGGAATATCAGTGGGAATGGCTCTCTGTGTCATGCTGTCTGTGACCATACGAAACTTGAGCTGACTTCCTTGCGAGAGGCTTGTGCGGGCTGTTGCATGGGTTTGAAGCAAGCGACGCACAAGGTGACAGGGAGCTGTTGTACCGGAGATTAGTTTGAAACAAATGCACGCATCTCTGCTGCCGTGTTTAACTTATCCTGGCTGTGGTTGCAGCTTATAGAGCAGTTTGGATGTAAGCCAGCAAGGGTGACCCGCAGCCTTTGGCAGTGGGAAGGGCGGCTCCAGTAGATACCCAGAGCAGCAGATACTGCGTCTGCATGTTGGGCAGGAGTGCTTAATTTGGGAGTCTTAGTACAAAAAGTGAAACTGCTGTCGGTGTTACTCTGGCTGATGAGCTCGATCTGCGACCTTGCTGACGTGCCCTGCGCTGGGAGTCACTGGGTGAGCCAGGATGGAGGGGGAATGTCCTTGCTAGGGAACGTGGGGACGCTGCAGCTGCTCTGCCTTATCCCCTGCTGCAAGGGTTGTGTAGAGATCCAGGGACCAGTTTGCTCCTCTTGCTCTGTGCCAGCTCTGCCTGATTCCCTGAGTATTGATTTAAGAGAGAAAACAAACTCAGAGGAGACCGAGTCCCATTAGAAATGCCCCAGGAAGCTGCTGAGGAACCAGGGCAAGGGACCCCATGTCCCCTGCGGAGCTGGCCGCTGCCACGTGCATACACCCTCCTTGGGAAGCCCTGTCCCCTGGGTACCCCAGCTCTTGATGTGGAGCCTCCAGAGTCGAGTTTGAACTGTAATTACAGCAAAGAAGCAATAGCCAGGTTGTCTTGTCTTTCCAATTAGTGTAATGAGGCTTCTATGCAAGAAGGATTTGAATAGCTAAGAAGCTTAAATTTGGTCTTGGAATCATAGCTGGAGATGGGGGACTGACCGGGTGGTGTAATCCTCCTGTCTGCCCAGGCTTGCCCATCCCCTGCAGTGAGCTTCAGTGCTCTGCTCCCCGGAGTTTGTGTTCCCCTCATTTCCCCCCACCTCTAGCTTTCCAAGGGCCCATCTGTGCAGTCTTCTCTTCCAGGATAAAGGAGCTTTTATTGAGCTGAAGAGCCTTTTAAGGCTTTGTGACTGGGATATAAGCCCAAACTGCTCTGAATTTGGGAGTAATAATGGGGAATAAACCCTCTGCCCTGACTCTGTGCCCAGCTCAGCCTCTGGTGCTGCTCAGCACTGCTCGTTTTGGTTCTGCAATGACTGTTACCTTGCAGTCAACAGGTGCTGGTGCAGCACCATCTTTTTTTACCCTCCTGCCTGCGGTTCTCTGAACCGTGCCTGAAAGCTCGTTTTGTGGTGCAGCTCTCAGTCCTCTGTGGTTTTCTCATGTCCTCAAAGGAGGTGGGGAAGGCTTCTTCCAAAGGCTAGTGTAAAAGGCGCTTGATTATCCAAAACCTGGTGTTGGGTTCCCCTTCTCTCTGTAACCCTCCTGTGTGTGTCAATGCAAAGTACTCGACCCCCAGTTGAACTGCAAGTGGGTTCAGGGAGCAATTTTTCACATGGGTATCTGAGATTATCAAATTAATTTAAGCAAAATATTAACAGTTCTACTGGGAGGAGCAGAGAGGGAGCAGTACTGCAGGGTAAAATCCTGCGTGCCTGGGCTCAGGGCAGGCATTTCTGACTCCTGCCCCGAGGAGGGCAGGGTGGAGGTGAGTCTGCTCCCGGACAGACCAGGCTGTTACGTGGGAAGGTGTGGGAAGGGAGCAAGGCTGCACCTTGCAGGGCCACGTGCCTGGCTGGCCCCAACGTCGGGCTGGCAGGGATGGGGCTCAGTGCCTGGGCAGGGCAGCCTGGCTGGCCCCACAGCACAAGGCAGAGGCTGTGGTCCGGATCTGCTGCGCCCGTGGGGAGCATGTAGGGTGGGCAATGGTGGGGAAAGTGGCAGGAAGGTGGCAGGGCTTTGTCGGCCGTACAGGGAACCAGTCTGGCGCTCTGCCTGCTTTCCTCCTTGTCCCTCCGAGCCTCGCTAACCCAGTCCTGTTGTCTGCCTTGTCCCCAGGTGAGCCAGCTGAGCAGGCACTTCAATATTCGGCCCTTCTCACTAAAGAAGCCCACGCCAGATTGACTAGGAGTGGAGGAAGAGAAAATCGGCTTGCGGTCTGTAGAAGTACTGTAAATAACTGCTGCAAATACCTGTAAATACTTCAACCATCACCACAGATCTAAACCTATCCTCTGGACAGACATCACGGCAAAGTACGCACGGTATCCAGTGCAGCCAGGGCAGGACTGGGACGGGGCAGCCCCCGCTGCTGTTCGACGAATGCAAGCTTTCAGTTTTGGGTGAAACTGGACGAGGAGGGTAGCCTTTCAGGTCACTATTACTGTATATGAGACCAGCTGAATGTTCCCAGTGAAACCTCAAACCCCAGCTCTTGCTCCGGTAAAGCCGGTTGGGGATGCAAATGGCCTTACCTGAGCAAAGCATCTTGACTTGTCAGCAAAACCAACATAACAGCTGATTTCTACAAGGTCAGGGGAACATCCTGGTGGTCGGGGGAGTTCCTGTCTGTCTCTAATCCTGCTAGACAGCCCTTGTCCTGGGCTGGTTCTGAGGGAGCAGATGGTGACAGTTCTCCCACGTTCTGTCCTGCCTTCCTGCATTCACCTATTTGGGCAAATACTTGCACCTGTTTTTTTAAAGAGGAAAAAAAGAACAACACACAAAACTTCTAGTAATAGTCTACTTGGGGGGCTTAGAAAATCAGGGCTCAATTTCCTGTAAAAGTGGGAAGGCGGCTTCTGCCTCCCCTGCTCGAGCTGTGGGTACCTGGGACCACATCTCGACCGTGTTCCTGTCTGTCCGTGTGCGTTCCCCGGCTGGGAGTGGGGTCTGGGCTCTGACCGGCAGCAGAAAGTGGCTTATGCCAGCCTGTCTAACACAGAGCCAAACTCCCCCCTCTTCCTACCAGTATGAACTTGCTGTTTCAGGTTGGCTCTGCTGGGTCATTGCATGCTGCCTGAGCCGCCTCTTTTGTGGCAGCGCAGCCAGGCTCAGTCTGCACATCGCCCTTCCCACCAGACCATCAACGGCAGCAAATCCACCGCTTAGAGAAGCACCTTAATAAGTGTTGTGTTATTGTGTGTGCACTTTCAGAAAGCTCACAGGCGTGTGTGTGGTGGGGTCCTTTCCAAATATCACTTTATTTTCAAAACCGTTGTCGCCAGCGGCTGCGTGTCTCATCCAGGGATATATTTGTTTACTGTCCATTTGTAAAAGACATGTTTGCATTGATTATTTTTTTTTAAACTTGTTTTTGTAATTGAGTTAGAGTGGTGTGGTGAAGACTGAATGCTGATTTTCTTTTCTGTTCACTTTATTTAATGAAGACCTGTGCTTGAATGAAGAGTGTAGCTTAAACCCAGGCTCTGGAAAGGCTGCATCCGGAAGCGAACAAGCACAGCAGATTGTGCATATGTAATCTACCATGGGAACAAAGTTGCTTATACACTGATTATTGTGCAACGTGGTTCGTAGAAGCTTGGTCACAGCATTTTCCTTCTGCAGGTGAAGACTCCTCCTGCTTTAGGAAACCTTCAAACTGTAACTACTATTTAATGCTTTTTCTTTTGTAAATTTGAATCATTGTCATGCAGACTATGAGACTTGAAATCCTGAGGCAAGCTCACGAATTCACTGCGCGTGGGGCAGGGTTGCTCGGTCACGGTACACCCTGCGAGGAGCGAGCTGCTGTGTTCTTCTGGGCTGACGTTGTGGGAGGGCTCGGCTGAACGTCTGTATGCTCGTGTGTCTGTACGGCTACGCCGTGTCTGGGAAGGGTGGCTCATCTGGGAGAGGGGGCAAATGGTTTTCAGAGTTTATTTAATAAAGTAGTTTACTCCTATATATTTTACTGACGTTGTACAGAAAAAAACCCTACGTGTACAAAAGAATTGGGCTGCGCTTGAATTTTTGACTCTTGCTATTTAATGAAATATAATTGTGAAGGGAGATAAATTTAAGTCACACTCGCACAAGAATTACAGGGAATCTTATAATGGGACACAACGCTTATCTATGGGACGTGTTCAGATAGCAAAATTGTGCTAGCAGCACTGACAAAAAGTGGAGGTTGGATGATTTACTTTCTAGTTATGTGTTTGCAGGACCAGGGAATAACTAAGCTGTTCCCTCAGGCTTTCAGCTGAGCTCTGGTTCCCGAGCCTGGAGCTTGCCTTGTCCTGTCTCTTCCCAGTAGTATTACTGGGTCAGTACTAATGCTGTGGGAAGTTGTCTGATCTTAAATCTTAGGATGTCACTTTGTCTGCATAATACACTGTTTGTCTGTTGTCTCACCCAGCTGTGAGCTGGTGCACTTTTGCAGCACGTAATACACCCTGAAAAACCCCTTTGTGAAATTACAAACATGTGGAAGCAGGGCTTCCTCTCTAAAATCCTGCAAATACTTGTGCTGTAGGAGAAAGACCTCTCTTAAAAACTGGAACCACTTCCTATCTGCACAGGCTTTATCTTTGGACAGTCCTGCATTTTTGGTGCCTTAATTTATTGCACCTTGAAACTAGAAAAATATCTCCTTAAATCAGCGCTGGAAAACAGACTCGCTTGTCTCTAGTGCCGCCAGGCTTGTGGCAGAGCGAGGAGAGAGCAGACCTGATCTCAGCACACATGTGGCTCTGTTCCCGAGTCGTGCTGCTGTGAAGCTGGGGACAGTTTCTGTTTGGGCTGTTAGAAATTAAGTGATTTCTGCTCCCAGATTCTGGGAGGGGAATGAAAACAAACAGAAAGACCAAACCGTCTTGCCATGGTGGGGTATGGCATGCTGAGAAACAAACTATTTATTAATAATAATGGTTTTAAGTCTTAAGAATAAATGTATTCCTCGCTAACAGCATCTGAGGGTAATCGTGTTATGGTGGTGGTTGCTTGCCATGCTGGCTAGATTCTGTCCTTGTGGTGGGATGTGTTCCTTGGGATGGGACAGAGTCCTGCGCAGGCTGGGTAGGACGTGCGCTCGCTCCTCAGCTCCTCCTGTCCGGTATTTGAGAGCTGATCTGTGTTGTCCCTTCTTCCAGGGATAGCGTCAATCCTATTTTCTTAATGGACCTGCTGAGTTGATAATAGGACTTCTTACACTTTCCTAAATCTGTTTTGCACATTTTATCTCAATACAGAGTATTACCAGGAGAAAAACCTGATCAGGGAGAGGTGCAGTCCTTCGAGACCCGCTGGGATGTCAGTCTCCTGGCCTCGGGCTCCAAGCGGGTGGGAATTGGTGGCCAGCGCTGCCAGCTGCTCCCGGTCCTCACCACACTGCAGCCGGTCAGCCTCCGCTCCGAAGCAGGTTTTTGTGGGATCCTGGGATGTGCCAATGTGTCGGCACGGGGCTTGCGTAGCCGAGGCAGAGAGGCAGCCTCGCTTGCAGCCTTTTTCATCTCAGTCTTGTGGTTTGTATCACAGCTCCTGCCTCTGCACCGATCCAGGGACCTAGTGCAGGAATTCAGAAGCGGAGCTGGAGCTGAGGGTGAAGTGCAGGTTTTGGGACCTCCTGGGGGTTGGGCAAAACCAGCTGTCACACTAAAAGCAACGTTTTACAAGTCCAAATGCTGCGGCTGACCTGTGGGCCTACAAACAAGCACCTACGTGCTGTGGTTTTAGCTTGTTCCTTCCTCTGGTGTGTCTGTGCTGCAATTAACTCCTCTCTTCTGCGGTCGGTCGCTGCAGGGGCTCGGCAGCAGTCTGTCCTCTCGTAAACGTCAACCACCTGATACAGGTGGCTTTGCCAGTGCCAGGGGAGCAGCATGTTGTAAGCATGAGCTTCTAAGGCTCTGGAAACATATATTTAAGCTCCTTAAATAGAGCTGGCCTGATGTTACCTCCCGGGTGCGTTGAGTACCTGCAGTTTGTAGTCCGAGAGCTGTTTTGATCTCAGTCAGGTCAGTCCAGCAAGGCCCCTAAACTCTTCTCCTCTGAGAGCATCTGCGCCTGCTTGTGATAGACCTGGAAAGTCTCTACAGAAATAGTGCTTTTTGGAAACTAGCTCAGATCTTTTTTTTTTTTTTTTTTTTCCATACACAGGTCCAAGGGAACAGTTGATTTTTGTGCAAAGACAAGCTGTAGCTGAGCTCTGGTCACCTTAGTTTATGGCAAAACTGTGTATGTGCCCACCTATTCTACCTTGCTGTGCTGTGTCGAAGCAGTGGCCGAGGTGACGTGGAGGCTGCTCTTGGTGGGACATGGTGACAATGGGTGCTACGCTGACTTCTTTGCATCTGGAAAAGGCCACTGTTAGTTTGTAGAAGACCCTTTGGCCCATCCAGGTGTGGTCAGACCTGGCTTGGGAGGTCTCTAGGCTGGTCTCCGAGGAAGTGGTCAGGGCGCAACTGCCCCAGGAGCAGAGGTTCTCGGTGAAGTTCGCTGCTCAAGGTGCCGTTCATCTCGGCCAGCGGCATCTGTGATGGCTGTTTGGTAGGAACGGGCGCTGTGCTTCAGATTGGAGACCTCATTAATCAGAATCTTCTGCCCCGCTCCCTCTGGCAGTGTTTCAGACTGACCTTCTTCTGTCCCTCGAGCTTTAGCTGAAGTGGGTGCTGGTTTTGGTAGTGGTCTATGTTGTGCTGGTGCCAGCCCCTCTGGAAGAGGAGAGCGGTGGGTCCCAGGCTGGTTTTGGCTCTGGTCTTCTGAGTGAGTGCTGAATCGCTCTCTTCTCCAGCTGTAACCCTGCCCCTAAGGGTAAACCAAGGCAGCAGCATCAAACCCAACCCGCAAAGGGGCTCCGTGGGGTGAACCGGCGCATTTCATACTCAACCCTTACATCTGAGTGGTTTTGCAAACAGTCCTGGCTCTCTGGGCTCTTAACCACTGGGCCTCTGGTATTAGTGCAGGACAGGGAGCTTCTCTGCAACCCTTCCGAGCATCTTCGTAGGCCTGTGTCCGTGTGGCTGTTCAGTTTTCCTGGGCAGGGTGGGGAAGGAGTTGGTGATGCCACCTCGTCCTTCTAGAAACAAGTTTGGAGGCCCTAACTGGACTCTGCAGCCCGGTCTTCTGCCACCAACCCCCTGCGCGGTGGGGCTGGAGAGCCAATGCTGCCGGCTGCTGTCCTGGGGCCATGAAATGATGCAGGGAAAGACGCGTTTGGCGCTTGTGCTGGTGCGGTGGTTGGGTTCTGTCCCTTCTTCCCCACTGAGCCTTTCTGAGGAGCCGCTGTCAGTGGGCGCCTGGCTCCCCCGGGGCTCGGGGTGCTCTGCCAGGCTCCCCGCGGGAGCTGAGCAGGTCCGGTCCCTCTGCGCGGGGTTGCCCCTAAACAGAGATCAGACGAAGCAGCCTGGCTGTGAGCAGCGGTCCCAGCACTGCCGTGGTCCCAGGGACCCCAATCGCTTCCCCGGAGCCCTGTCGCTGGGAGTTTAGGTACTGCAGTGCGTTTGAATTCCAGTCTGTTAAATGCTATTACTGAAATATTTATTGTGTTTAAACCAAACAAAAAACTATTAAAGTTCAGTAAAGAATAAAATTTTCCAAGCCTTTTAATGGTGTTTGTCTCTTTTTCTTTTTTTTTTTCCTTTCTGCTGA